AAGTAAAGTTTTAGTTAGAGACGGATGTCCAACGCTCATTTAGATGTAATTTTTATCGAGTTGCACGTAATATATCATCGGTAAAATTAGGCAAGCAAATGTTGAAATTCACATGTTTTGGAGAGTCATACTCCTCTATATTATCTTACTCCTGATATTAATAATAGGACATTTTTTGGTCCACAATCTGTTTGTGGTGGCTAATAATTTTTTATGTTCCACAATCTATTTGAGGTGGCTAAGAAAATTTTACACCCACAATCTGTCTGTGGTGGCCAAGAAATCTTTGTGAGCACAAACCGTTTGTGGTGGCTAAGGGATATTCAGGCCCATAATCTGTATGTGGTGACTGAGAAATTTGTGGGCGAACAATCTATTTCTGTCAAAAATACCAGATTTTCACCGCTCATTATCTCAGCGTAAGGGCATCGTAGGGACAAGCGGTTTGTTTTATATTAGCAAGGTAGGACAGCTGATCAATAATACCGCAAAGAATCGTCAAAATGAAACGGGCAAAGTTTCTTAATTCGACTAATACTGCAACATGGTTTCAGCATTTCACCCTTGTACGCTCTCCTTCTTTATACGCTTTTGTTATTATGTATAGCTCAGTGGGTGAGTCATGATTTAAATAGATACTGGTCACGAGGCTTAATTAGAACAAGTGTCGATTGGGAGAGGCAAGAGCGACAATGCATTTCCATGGACATAGCAAGACTGTATGGACTCACAGGAATCACTGCCGTGGGCTTGGGCCCAGCAGGAAATTTGTAAAAAAAAAATTGGGGTGCAATTAGTGGCCATGTAATTGTTACAATTCCATTAAATAAATATGTAACCGGCTCGCTGTAGGTATTGAACAGACTCCATATCAAGAACCAAGCAGCTGCACGGAGACGCCATCCTTGTCAAATAGAGAAAGCGGCGATTCAACCAGTTCCCCCATAGTGATATCTGAAAAGCAAAAGAACCAGTTGAATGGTAATAAAAGCTAATGCTTCTTTAATTGTTACATGTACATGGTAGCTAGACCTATAAATGTGCATTCTTTATCATAGCTATACCAGTCAGAATCTATATGATAGTTTAGTATGGCTTTTGACAATAGTTTTGTATGACTCTTAGTTTTTTATAGCTTTGTTAGAACACAAACGTAGGCTACTTTATGTTAGTTTACATTATTGTATCTATGTGTATATTCTGCAGTGTATCGCTCCTGTGCTCTACTGTTCCAAAGTGAAGATTTGGCAGATGGAGAATACGAAATTGACCCTGATGGAACGGGACCTATACGACCATTTGTTGTGCGGTGTGTCAGGCAAAATGGAACTGGTAGGAATTTCTTATTCATTACAATTATAAGTATTATAAATATCAATATATATAAAAATTATAAATACCTACGCTATATCAACCCTAGCTGCCTGACTTATAAATAGTAGGCCTAGTTAATTTAGAGTGCCTATCTTATAAACTAATTTTTTTAAAGATATGTAGTTTTTTGGCATATATATGTAATTTTAATCAAAATTTAACTCAGTGGTTTTAATGTGATAACGTGCCAGGAGTACTTGAAAGGGTTTTCTATGTGTAAACTGTCAGATTTTTCTTTTCCTTGCAAAAAATTGTTCTTGCAAAGCTCATGGTATTACTAATATTGTCACATTAATTAGTAAATCTGATTATACGTGTTGGAATAATTGTGTAGTGCAGTGTAGATGTGCTTTCTTTTGTGTAGTTGTTGCCGTGGTTCATCACAATGCTGACCAATGTCAAGTGGTAACTGGTTATGAAGAGCCAGGTAGCTATGACCTGCCAATAAGCTACAATGGTAAGTGTGTGTGCATGACTGTGGACGTGAACAAATTGTATTTATAAATATTTACCTGTTTGAGGTTGTATATATTTCAGTATCTATATTCTTGATATGTACAAAATATTTTAATTTATGTAAGTAAGCTTGACTTTTGAGTACTCTTTTCTGACTACTTTTTTTTACTTTATTACTGTTTACTCATCTGCTTTTAAACTTTACCTTAGTCATGTGCTGACTAGCTATTTTCTTTCAAGTTAGTATTTTTAACAGGGATGGCAATATTTATGGTGCATGTGTCTTTACTATATATATTTCATGTGTAAATGCTTAGGAGTCACCACACAGCAACTGACCAGTCTCACAGAGTATTCAAGAACCTGCATACAATATTTGCGGTATGAATGCTTTGGCAGCATTTTCCGCAGCACGATATATCCAGGATTGAGGTAGGAGCTCTAGAAATAGAAAGGTGTACAGAAATATTTAGCATATATATGTGTGTGTGTGTGCGTGGGCATGTTTTGTGTGTGCGTGCGTGCGTGCGTGTGTGCGTGCGTGCGTGCCTGTGTCTTTGTCTGTGTTTGTGTGTGTAACTGTCTTACTTTTCCTACCAATTGCAGGAACAATTTTTTTAGGCAGTTGTAAATCATTTCAAGTATCCTATTTAATCCAATTACGATTGCTTTGTAAATATTAACATGTATTTTTAAATGGTTACAAGTGTTAAAATACATTATATAGACATTACTATTAATTAATAACTACTCCAAAATATCAAGGTATGTATATGTCACATGTATTGTAATACATGATTTGTACGGGAATATTATTATTAGGTTGTATTATTTATGTTGATTGCATGAGATCATTCCTTGAACCTATTTCTGCATTTGAAGGTATGCATGGTGGGAGGCCAGAGAAGGCACAAACCAGTCAAGCTGGGGAGGTGTGCCCTCAAATGTTGATGGGTGTGAATGCAGCCTGACTGATACTTGCAAGGACCGAAACAACGTGTTCAGTGCGGTTTTAATGTGATAACTGCCAGAGTACTTGAAAGGGTTTTCTATGTGTAAACTGTCAGATTTTTCTTCCTTAGCAAAAATTGTTTCTTGCAAAGCTCTCATTCGGTATTACTAATATTGGTCACATTAGATTAGTAAATCTGATTCGATACGTGTTGGATAATGGTTAGTGCAGTGTAGATGTGCTTTCTTTTGTAGTAGTTGGTGCCGTGGTTCATGCACAATCCTGACCAATGTCAAGTCGGTAACTGGTTGATGAAGAGCCAGCGTAGTGATGACTGCCAATAAGCTACAATGGTAAGTGTGTTGCCATGACTGTGGACGTGAACAAATTGGTATTTATAAATATTTACTGTTTGAAGGTTGTATATATCTTCAGTATCTATATCTTGATATGTACAAAATATTTTTAATTTATGTAAGTAAGCTTGGACTTTTGAGTACTCTTTCTGACTACTTTTTTTACTTTATTATGTTTACTATCTGCCTTTTTAAACTTTAACCTTAGTCATGTGACTGACTAGCTATTTCTTTCAAGTAGTATTTTTAACAGGGATGGCAATTATTTATGGTGATGTGTCTTTACTATATATATTCATGTGAATGCTTAGGAGGTCACGCACACAGCACGACCAGCTCAACAGAGATTCAAGAACCTGCCATACAATATTTGCGTTATGAATGCTTGCAGCATTTTCAGTAGCACGAATATCCAGGATTGACGGTAGGGGCTTAAGATAGAAAAGTGACAGAGATATTAGCATATATATGCTGGGTGTGCTCGTGGGCCATGTTTTGTGTGTGCGTGCGGTCGGCGGTGCGGTGTAGGGCGTCCCGGAGCCGGGGCGAGGACCTCGAGATGCGGTGCCGTGCTGTGTCGTTGTCTGCTTGTTTGTGTGTGTGTTAACTGTCTTACATTTCCTACCAATGCAGGCAGAACAATTTTTTTAGCGCAGTGTAAAAAAACATTTCCAATATCCTATTTAATCCAATTACGATTGCTTTGTAAATAGTTAACATGTATTTTTATAATGCGTTAAAGGTTAAAATACCATTTACATAGAGCATTACTATAAAGCGCATACATAGGCCATTGATATACAACGTTGACGAATGCTACATAACTGGCACCTTCGTTAGTTAATTCAAGTACATTAGCCTTATAGTTAAACGCGTGATTACGGTTGCTCCAATATTCACGCTAATTACTAAGAAATGTCTAATTGAAATACCGCGTAAATGCTGGTAACTGGCACGCCACGCTAAATTGGTTGCCAGGCCAAAATAGCTCTTCAATTCGTGTATAGGCCAACGCTCACATGTTGTACGCGTGGACGGCCGGTGTTAGCGAGAGATGTTGTCCCCGGGATGCTTATATATACAACTATGAGCTAGTAGAATGTATCTGCGGAGCAGTGTATTCTCGTATTGAGCACAAGTAAATAACCGATGGTGCTCTAATGAACGGCCGTACCCACATGCTTCATATTTCAGACACAGCGTGTATTCGCGTTGACCAATATACGTAGATCGCCGTAGGCCGTCTGCTTTCCATGTTTAGTCGGTGCGCCGTGGTTAGTCCGCGATCCTCCCATAGCGTGGCGCCCCAACACAGCCTACTTCATTATCAGCGAGCGTCTGTACGTGCATTCGTACGGTGGATCTCCACATTCATTACAAAGAGCTACTGTTACGTATACAGTGACGGTACTGTACTATCGCTAGCATTCGCGTACGGCGAGCAAATGCATCGCGTGCCGCGTGCGTTTTTGCCGTCGCTTTCATGCGTGCGAAACATGTTCCCGGTGGACTATAAATCTGTATTACACACCGTTTTCGAAGTTATGCGGTTCGAAACTGTAAACAAGTCAGTCAACTGATTTCATGGACTGGCGGATTTCAATTAGACATTTCTTAGTAACCAGCAGTGATATTGACGAACTAATACGCGTTTGGCTATAAGGTAATGTACTTATTAACTACACAAGGTGCCAGTTACTCTAGCATTCGTTAAAATTGCATAATAGATGGGCCTATATTATGCCTTTAATTAATAACTACTCCAAGATATCAAGGTATGTATATGTCACATGTATTGTAATACATGATTTGCTACGGGATATTATTATTATGGTTGTATTTTTATGTTGTGATTGCGCATGAGATCATTCCTTGAACCTATTTCTGCATTTGAAGTATGCATGGTGGAGGCCAGAGAAGGCACAAAACAGTCAAGCTGGGGAGGTGTGCCCTCAAATGTTGATGTGTGAATGCAGCCTGACTGATACTTGCAAGGACCGAAACAACGTGTAAGCTTGTCAAAATCATGCGTATATATATATACTTGTTTAGTAGTACTTGTTCAATGTATGCACGAGCATCTCAGCATCTGGGATGTACGTTTAAACATCAGCATGGAATTGTCCTACAGGACTGAAAAATGCATGTTTTGTAGGTGTAACTGTGACTCGAATCGTAATGAGTGGAACACAGATGGTGGACTTCTGACAGACAAGACGTGCTCCCTGTGATGCGATTGAGGTTCGGCGACACTGGCAAGGGTGCAGAGAAGGAATTCACTACCTTGGTCCTCTTATGTGCCTTGATGGTGAGCATTTCTACTAGATAGCATAGGAATATTACAAGGCAGAAAGAAATACAAATATGTCGTTTATGCTACACTATGTAAGAATATTTTAAACACTATATATACTTATAGGGATAGTCATAACTGTAACTTATAAGATGAGTAATTGTGTGTGGCCTACGAAATTGTATCTTATGTCATGCACATGGTCAAAATCTTCACCATTTGGACCATGTACATGGACATAAGATTTCGTAGGCCACACACGATTACATTATCTTGTACATCATGTACATCTTGTCATCTTGTCATCATGTCATCTTGTACATCTTGTACATCATTATCGTTGTACATCTTGTACATCTTGGTACATCTTGTACGACATGTATCGATGTACATGGTCTAAATGGTGAAGGTTTTGGACCACTCTGCGCATAATATACTGCTGTTCATCTGTGAAAACTTACTTATATATTGCCTTATGAATGCATGAAAATTGTGGTTGCTGGAGAATCAATTCATGGAGCATATGGTTTATAAAAATATTTCCATTACAGATGGTGACAGTGTTGCATTTACGGCTCCACCACTATGCTCGTGAACAAAGTAATCTGGATTTAGCGATAATTCCAAAGCAAAAAGTAAGTGCTTCCAATCGATGACTGTATGATCTAACATTTATTACTTGTTCGTGAGTTTTCGTTCTTATGTTTGGCTATATGATTAATCCTTATGTTGACTTATTTTGTGCACTATTATTATATTTAGTTTTGAACTTCAGACTACAAACTCTCTTGCCTCTGCTGCAGCTAGCTGCTATCTCTTGTGCATAGGAAGTCGGTCTGAACTTCCTTGATCAGAGATGTTCATTTCCACCTCTATAGATATCTAGTCATTATAATATGACTTTGTGTAGAAAGAGAGATGAGACAATGCACCTCAGTTTATTCTGCAAAACACTCATGTCATTACAGGTGCTGCATTTCTTAGGGAAAGTCTAAGAAGTAGTGAGATGAAATTGTTTAAAAGTTGTACATGCACTATTCTTTGTCACAGGATATAAATAAGGGCAGTATAGTGTAGTAAGCTGAGCCATTATTTGTCACACTGCTCGCAGTGCGTGGCTTGCAGCGAGATGTGTATGATTAGTCTAATAATATCCTATTTCTTTTATAGCAACAAGAGAACAGAGGGTAAGATTTGCTGTTATTAACATAATAAAATGTTCAGATTGAAAAATAGATTAGACTGGACTTGTTTTGGGTCTGTTTTTACTGCTTCTGTCAATGTGGTGTGGCACTTTATGTTAGTAGAATTTCGTTGTAAAAATGTTGTGGTGATCTCTGATTTAGTGTATATTCAACAGTTAAAGTAGTTAAAAGTAATTATATTACTTTAGTGGTATTTTAAAATAATTATAGGTATTTGTAAAGTTGTGTAATGAAATGAGTTTAATGTGTGGAAATATACTGTAAAGAGGTGGATCTTTATTATCTAATTCGTTCTGAGAGAAGTAAGGAGGAACTATAATTCCTTCATTCACAGGAAACAGGATTGTTGTTACTGTTATGAATGTAATTATAGCTGACATTTAGAAAAAAAGCAACTTGAATTTTTGGTGGGTGCGTGGTTAGGTTTGTCTAGTTCTTCCTGAGATAGATGAAATAGTGTTAATGTAATTCCTTGTGTGACTGGTTTGTTTATTTGTTTGTAACACTGGTTAATGGTTCGCTATATGCCTAGCACTAAACTTCTTGGTCACTCGATGATTGTCTTAATATCTTGCTATGTTAGATAAAATCATTTTCTTTTCAGTTTACCGTACGTGCGCCGAGTACTATGAGAATGAGATGGTGTTTGCTGATGGGGAATACTTCATAGACCCCGATAGCTCGCACGCACTCCCTCCATTCAAGGCTCACTGTATTTTCTCAAAAACACATGGAGGTAAGATTTCATCTTTTAAATTATATCTGCTTCAAAACTGACAATGTTTCGTTAAAGGAGATATGAAGTAGTAAAATACTACTAGTAGTTAAGTGAAAATCTTACTAACGTATTACTGATCTAAAAGTACAAGACTGACTCATTAACTTGTGGCCTAATTCAATATAATTTCCATCAATAATATCATGCACTGTTGCACCGGGCAGTGCTATTACACTTTCCTCACCTTTACCATGTTTACTGTGTAAAAAATGACCAGGAACATGTCTAACTACTAAGTGACACAGCATGCCAGGTTGCAAGTGCTCATGGAGACAGCCGGCCTTCAAATCTAAAACTAGTGTGGTAGGCACAATATGAATTTATTAATGGTGTAACCTGATGATTTCTCTGTGCATTTCGTTTGCTCATGCCTCTACACCTGCCATCAGTATAATGATGGCCAAACTCTATCTCTCTCTCTCCATCTCTGTTCTTCATGCTGCCTTGACCCGCGCTTAGTAGTAGAGGCTGCCTTGGTGAACAATCTCCCACCTCCAGTTTAAACTGTACAGAGTGATGTTACTGGATGGATGTAACCTTGCAGGAATCACTGTAATAAACCATGATGCTGAGAAGTGTTTGCATGTTGAGGGCTACGAAAACCCAGGGGATGGCCCGGATTCTTATACTAGACCAATCAGTTATGAAGGTATGTATAACATAGGAACAGTGGTGCATGCATTTTACTGTTCTCAGATGTATTTCTGCTCTGGGAAAAAAATCGAGTTTTGAAAAATAAAACTAATAAAGTCAATGTAATGAATAAATGTATTGCTAAAGTGTTCTAGCTGTCTTGTATCCATGCAACATTTCTTAGTTTATTCAATTTCCACTATGCAAGAAAAAAAAACAAGTATTGTGTATGTATAGGTTCACACGGACGTTTTTGGCCCGAGCCTAATTAGGCCTGCGCCAGATTTGGCTCGAGCCGAGCGTTCACACAGACGTTTTTGGCCCGAGCCTAATTAGGCCCGTGCCAGATTTGGTTCCATCGAAAACGTCGGACCAGGCCGAGCCAAATTTTAGCACAGCTTTCGCGAGCTCGTTCGATAGAGCGTAGAATCGTTAGGCGTAGATGCCGCGAATGTCGAACGGTACTTCGACGAAATAAAGTCCAAAACAGTTAAAAATTCGAAAAATTTGATCAGGATGCACGTTTTCAGATGATAATTAAACTCGGAACGTAAGTAAACACTGAATCGTAAACAACGCCATCTCGCGACATACTGCCAAAGTACCTCTGAGATATTTGTGCAATATATTATTTGAATTTGAATTTGAATTTGACAGACAGTATTCACTTGCGTACGTGTGAACGCTCCAACTCAAACCGGCCCGAGCCAAATTTGGCCCGAGCCAAACCATGACCGTGTGAACGCGACTTATATGTTGTTAAGACCTCGGTGGGTTATTGCTAAGAAAATTGCCTTGAAAATTGCTTGGACAATTATTGCATCTAGAATAAATATATATAATAAATAATAATCAAATAATAAAATTCTCTTTTAGTGCAATGCAGCTATTCAACTTTCAATTATGATTTGTTTTTCAATCCCGTTACTTTGCCTTGCTAAAACCAATGCTGATGTCACGTGTTATTAAGGGAATTACTTTTCAAACCTATTATAACAATGATGTTTTGTCAATGGTGATAATTTGTGATATGTAAAAGCATGATAACATAAAATATTTTGTTAATTCAATACTTGTTGTTTCAGTTTATTAGTTGTTCAAAACTATGATTAAAATTCAAATAAATTGCCAAGATATTGCATTGAATATGATATAATATATATATTTGTTAGAGATGAACCAATCATCTGATAAGTAATACACCCTGACATTTAACAAACAAAATGTCTATCATATGGAACATGAATATATATATATATATATATATTATATAGTTTTTGCTTTTACAATATACCATGCATTCG